CGTTTCACTTGCATTTCAAACACAGACAGTTGGTAGTACTCCTTGGACGGTGATCAGCCAGTCACAAGGCCGCTACCTAACACAAACACAGAATAAACACAGATAAACACCGATGCCTTGAGTTTGGTTCGAACCCACGATCCCAGCGTGGAGCGAGCAAACATATTCTTGTTTTAGACCGCGCGGCCACTGTGATTTGCCTGCAGGATGTTAACTCTACATAAACCAGACGGTACCCGACGAGTAGGCAGACTTGCTATCAGATGGCTGGATTCAGTTGTAGAAGATCTGAAGACAATGGACGTCAGAAATTGGAGACGAAAGTCAGAGGATCGTAAAAGAGGGCAGAGTTCATCGTGGACTCTAACGACTGCAGAAGAAGTTTTGTTTTAAGTCCGAAAAAGGAAAATCTCTCATTGTTATATTCAGCAGTCAAACGATTTGACCCTGATAGGGTGATAGGATTTTGTCAGATCTCGATACCGGAAATTCATGCTGTATTTCGAATTCAGGCAGTATGTCAGTGTTAGCGGAAGTCAAAGATGAACATTTCGCTACGTCGTTTTCAGCTCCGATGATGCTTGGTGTGATTAATCTGCACGAAACGTTTTCATGGCGTGTATATTTTGAGCCATGTCAGTATCGCCAGAAATGAACGTTCTATTATAAAGAGTGCGTCCATTTTATACTCTCTTGTACAGTGTTTTCGACCGTGTTAAATTTGTAAGGATGTATTGCGGTCGATCATGAGTTACATAGGAACAAATGAAAATGAATGCTTTCAGTGGAAACAGTGTCCGTCATACGAAAACAATTATGGCCCTGAAAGCAGCGTATTGAGTGGTTACAAAATATTTGCGTACCACATAGCAAATTCCAGTTATTCACGATTGTATTCTGCTGGCAGTTATTAATGTAATATTCTTGTTTCTTTTTACATAGTGGGTGAATTGAACATATTATGGACAGATCACGTTTTGAAGGATGCCGTTTTCCGGGATGTGGCGCTGTGTAAATCATGTGTGAACCGACGTTTCGGAAGAACGTATCGCCTCTATCTTCAGGGTTGAAAAATCAGCGAGCGAGGAACCAGCAGCCATCTCATGCTGGTTCCTCGCTCGCGGATTTTTCTAACCTGAAGATGGAGACGATACATTCCTCAGAAACGTTGGTTCACACAAGATTTTCACGGTGCCACATCCCGGAAGGCGGCATTCTTCATAGTCACCGCTGTGAAAACCTCAGACCTTACATAGGTTACATTTATCTCCGAATTCAGTAAATGGATTTATGCGAAATTTTGCATGGGGGACATACTCGTACATTAAAACCTGTAAAGGGAGTTTAATTTTGCTTCCTGTCAGTACTTACTCAAAACAAGATGGCCGGTTTTCTTTAAACAGAGGTGTACTCCATCAAAAAAGAAGCCTGAACATTATTGAACTGCATTTCTCATGGAAATATGCAGCATTTGTTTGAAGAGTATTTTCAGTCCATTGGAAATACACCACAAGTAATCGGGCTTTCTGACTTTGCACCACGAATAATTTTAAAATAATGTGACATCCATTTTCTTTTTCTCTGGCTGTATTGGTTTTCAAATAGGCAATATGCTTGGGCCAGCGAATGGCTGCAGGTTTTCCCTCACCCGTCTGCCTAGCATCTGTGTCCCCCTCCCGCGCAAACACTTTTAACAGTTGACACTTGTATTCTCCCTGTCCCTTCTTCCATTCTTGGGTTATTGGTGTTAACCGATCCGTGGTGTGCAGTGTGGATAATTTGGGGGTGCAGGCGGGCGACTGTAACTCCCCCTGCCCTTGTCGAGTACGTTGTGGCTAATTCGATTGAATTGGCGCAGAAAGTATTGCAGCCTGGGTTAAAAATTAAGCCTATGTTCGTATCTCTAATATATTTATGCTAACAGAAATTTGTGACATGTCAAAGCATTGCCAGGCAACGGCTCGATAAACATCCCGCGATACGCGTACGCAACAATAAGGCAACGGGGTTATGCAATCCGTTTCTAGGCAACAGCTCGGTAAATACTTCGTGCAGGTGAAATGACGTCAACGCAGCTGTGGGTAGCTGTCACGTGACGTGTGTTTTCTGTAGGCAGCAGTCAGCGCGCCAGTGGACTGGCGAGATATTAAGCATGTGATTTGTGTTTTCAGTGTGGTCCGCGCCATGCCCACTGCTACGCAACATAACTGTAAAAACTTCTACAATAATAAGTTCTTTATGCGTGGTCCGTGCCGAAGGTTTATAGGGGACAACAGAGGTCGTTCTCGAGTAGTCGCAGCTGAGAAGCCGTGAGTTAAGGACAGGAAGCGGTCATGGAAAAGAGTTGAGAGTGCAGTGCAGTGTAATTAAGAATTAGTTTCAAGAGTACGGTTATGAAGAGGAGATTTTGTGCAATATTTGGAGTGTGTAATTCAGTGATACTGTTATAGTTCCTGTGGAACTAGCGGAAACTGAGAATCCTAGTGCGTGTGCAAAGGTGAACTGGAAAGTGCGTAGAACAGCGATAGCGCTATAACTGAGTGCGATTAAGGGAACTTGTAACCGAAGTGCCAATAAATCCATCCGAGCTAGAACCCGTTATTTTCGTCACGCCTACCCTCCTTCACGTAACAATATGAATGTGAAGGCCTTTGAAGTTTCATAAGTCTCAAATTACTAACTAAAACGTAATCTCAGTTACTTGCAACATGTTTGCCGCTGCCTGAACCCGATTTCGGTTTCATCACAAATTTCATTAAGAGGTTCCAGGCAGTAAGTACCGTATTCACCAGTTAACTCTATTGACCTTTACATCTTGGTTGGAGAACTGATTTGTATCGCCAGTAACACGTGCGTGTGAGCACTAACTCATCGTAATGTACACAGGGCCTACAAAACACATTTCGAGAGCTGCATTTGGAATAAGCATACTCGTGCTCGTGTGACTCGCTATGATCGCGAGTAATGTGGACGATATGACAGGTCATGAGACAAGCAAATTTTAAATTTTAAATTTAAAAACTGTAGCCAATAAATGAAAATACGACTACAGCCTATACACACTACGAGTAAATACACGGATCCTCACGCGCCGAAGCCTGGCGAGTAACTGAAGTAGTGTGGACGAAGATTTACGAGCACAAATAAAAGCCAGACGAGTCTCCCGACGAACACGAGCACGAGCATGAGCACGAATAATGTGGACGCGCCTTTAGTGTACATTTAACGAAAGAGGAGCATTACATATTTTTTATTGTGGGGGGGGGGGGAACCGACGTGCATCAATGGGAATTGACAGCCGCCATAACCTGAAGTCAGGCCGGCCCGTAACGCCTATTCACATTTCACAGTCATACCGTGTTGACAGTTCTGCTGTGTGATCTTGTTTATTAACTCGTTTGAGATTTGTGTTTGCTGACTTAAGTACATGATTTACTATTAACTAAGCGACCTCCGTAGTCTAGAGGTAACGTTCCCACCTCATGACTCGTGATACGCGGGTTCAAACCCGGCGGAGGTCGTGGAATTTTTAAGGGCGGAAAAATTCAGGGAGCAAGTCCTCCGGGAGGGACTTTAAGACGTGGGTCCCGCTTTACGGCACGTAAAAGAACCTCATATCTCCAAAAGAGGTCACTGAGCCAAATTACGGATGTTTCCCGCCCAACAGTAGTCTCTAATACCTCTGATAGATGGGGGAAGCATTATAGATACCACCAAACCAAGTAAATTTTAATTAGGATCTAAAAGTTTGTGACCTTGGTACATTAGCACAAATATGTTTCTGGACATTATCGCCCAGTTTTTATCTAAAAATACCGTCCTATTTATAGGTTTAGCTGAAGACGGAGACAGAATCCAGTCTCCGAAACGTTTTGTTTGGAAAATAAACAGGACTGTGTTTTTAGATAAAGCAGAACAGTGGATAATGTCCAGAAACATAATATTTGTACTAAATTTTAATGTTAAAATAATACTGCTCATCTACTGTGAGACAGATTAATTTAATACAGAAATAAATAATATAATACGCGCTATGTTAGCAGCTGGGTTGTCAGTATAAGTGAAGTGCAGACTGCTGCAGAAATTACATTAATATAATTAATTAAGATACATTTGCACTGGTGATTTCGGTTCATTTAATTAATTTATATTTCCGATATTTTTATACCAGTCCTTTTGTCTGTTATTATCCAGAATAGTTTTATTTGATTATGGTATTGTCAGTCCACTATCAAATAGATTATGTTTGTACAAGAGTAAATAATAAGATAGCATAACTCAACTGTATTTCGCTTAGTGGGGGATGGAGTCCAGCTGAGTCCACTCGGCACGTCGGCAAACTGATTGGCCTATTGTACCTGCCCCCGGGTGATTATGATGATGGAGAATTTGGTGGAATGAAGATTGGCAGGGGAAACCGAAGTACTCGGAGAAAACCCTCCCTAGCCCCAATTTGTCCACCACAAATCCCACTTGACCAGACCCGGGATGGTACCCGGGCCGCCGCGGTGGGAATCCAGCGACTAACCGCTTGAGCTATGGCGCGGCCAACTCAACTGTAACTAAATTAACTGTACTTTTATTCATGAACCTGGAGAGCCTTCAACACCGCATTGCTCCAGTACACTGAACGTGAGTAGCTTTCCGGTTTATATCCTTTAACTGTAATATAAACGGGTTTCAGATTGTAAATTAGATTTTGCGAGTGTAATTGACAAGATGGAATTAACAAAAAACAAGGACAATTCGAGTTTCTCAGAAGTGACGTAGCGGTTTGTAGCGGCCTGTTGCATGTGAGAGCAAACTCGATTATTCTTGGAGTTGCTGGTTTAACATGGCAGTCAGCTGTTGTAGCAGTCCACTGCTAGTATTGGCAACAGCACGTCATGACGTCATTAATGAGTGATCTCAAGTCGTCATCAAGTCTAATGTGTGACGTTAGAGAAATGCTGAGGGAAGAAAGGTTTGTCGGACGAAAAAGAGCGTGTAGTGTGTAGTGTTATGTGCGGTAGACGAGAGATGAGTACAAGTTGTGTGAGTTAATTAAGCTTACAGTTATGTATGGTTGCGAGTAATCTTATCGCGTGGAACATGACAGTGACGAAAGGCTCTTGTCTCAGTTGGATGTCAGTTCTGGGTGACGCTGGTGTAGTGGTGTAACTATGCGTTCGTAAGCCAGCAGCTGATGGCGATAATTGAATTTTGATTATTCGCCACTGGATACTCAGGCTGTGAACTTGGAAGTGATGTGTGCTTGCAGATATATCCTTCATCACGAACTGTGTTAACGTTTGTGTGTTCGAATCATGCAGGAGAAGAAAAATTGTACCTGGTCTCAAAGGATTATAAGAGCTACTAGATTTTTTGCGAAATACAAGAAACCGGTGAGTTAGTTACCTTTATGTTTATATGACGGCAGGATTACTAAAATACGTATAAGCCTATGCATAAGAAACATTAGAACGATATACTAGTAGTTAGTGCAGGTTACTGACTTTGGGATGTGATACTTAATAGTCTGACAGAACAAAACCAGCATTTCAGAGTACATCCATCTCCAGATGCCTCTTCTGCCTCTTTACTCTGCAGATAGACGCAGTAGGTTCCACCGAAACGTTGGTAAATTCTATTAGAGCACTTGACATAACATTCCAGAAGACACTGAGCCTGAGAATAACACCTTGAGAAACTCATATCTCTTTTAAAATTGTTAAATTTGAGGATCAGGAAACGAAATACTTCCGCACTTTATGGTTATTTTTATATATGCACCTGAGGCATAGGTGAGCAAACTACGGTCTCAGAGATGTTTAGATGACGTTAGTTATTGATATTTTATTTCTTATGCATTGTATAGAGAAACTGCAGAGAAATAAACTCATATTTTGATGGAAATTCCTCTTTTGGCGTCTCAGGTAGGCGAAGGAATGAAGTCTGCGCGTTCTTTTGTTAGCGACGGACGTTGAAAGGAAATCCACTTTGTTTGGGTAGATCACATAAACAGAACGCACGTTATAAACAAGCCGTAGAATTTAATGGGAGAAATATTTTGTTTTTATGTGCTCTTGTTACGTTCCCATTTTCAAAGCGGAAGAATCATGAAACCAGCTGCTCATGTACATGCGAGATGTACGAATGAGTTGGGCACGCGATAGCGTAGTTGATTAAGGTATTAATGCTACAAGCCGGAAGGTCGTGGGTTCGATTCGGAATGATGTAATTTGATATTTCAATTGATCTAATCTTTTCAGCCGCACTATGACCCTGGGTTCGACTCAGCCTTTAACAGAAATAAGTACCAGGAATCTCCCAGGGGTAAAGTGCGGCCGACGCATAAGGCTGACAAACTTACCGCCATCTGTGAGTCGATTGTCTAGAGAAAATGTGGGAGCCTCGACGTCTCACAACCTTATGGGCCTCCACGGCGTATTACAGGGAAAGCTTTAGTATTGCGAATGCTTTGAGCTTACCCTTCGCACTTCACCCGTCACTGGCGGTTTTGACAGGTGGAAATTTTGTGACCTCAGCGAAAAATATTTAGGTATCTGACACGGTATCCAGAATTGAATTTTAGGAACATTTTCAACTGTATGGTTCCAGTGAGTATGCAGCTTTCTAGCTTGAACGTTTTGCGTCATCGGAAAGGCCAGTTACAGTACTGCGATTATGAATTCTGATCTGTTGAGACCTAGCAGCCCCTTCACAGCAATTTATCTGATTTAGGGCGACGAAACCTAAAGTATTCTGGCATTCTAAAGTAGCAATTCACGCTGTGGAATTCTGTTTGAGGGCCTCGTTTTCAATTTCGGTTGGGCTACAAGTTTTATTTGTTTTCTGTAGACCCCACAGATGGAATTCCAGAGTAGTAGCTTCACAGGCTATGCCCGCCTGATTTCAAACTACTCAGGTGTTAGTTTACATGCCACATAATGGTAAGATGGCTTCTAGGAAGGAGAGATAACGTTAAAGGCAAAGCAGGCAGTCGAGTGGAACAGTTAAGCAAATACGTGCCTATATATAGGCAAAAATACATGAGTTGAGTCATTGCGCTCTTGACTGAAGAAGAGAGAACGTGTTCCAAGTATTCCTTTTATACAAACCTTATTCATCTAATCCAGTTTAAATATTTTAAAACAGATGTTAAGCGTTACCTCCAATAATTTTCGTCTTATTCAAACAGTATAAGGCGATCTTTAACCCTCTGTTGCGTCATTTATTGATTGTATTGTGTTTGTACTGCATTATAAATATGTATTCACTTACAAATTATAAATCACTCCGTCCAATGTGACCTGTAAGTTTTTTACTACGTAAAAACTTAACACCCTTACATGTTTCGGTCTCTGTGGACCATCTTCAGAGGGCAAACATCACTACAAATAGGAAACCACTATCACATAATTTGTTTACACGCAAAGTATGTACACTTATATGTTACAACATACAGTACACAGAATAGAACGTTTCACAAACACAGCAGTTTCCTGGGAATGTAAGTTTTAAAAGTGTATAAGATTCCTTGATGCTAATTAAAAGTTTTTATTAAAAGTTTTTTAGATTGTCAATGATTAAAATTCGTAAACCATGCAGGCTCGTGTTCGTCCTCCCATCGTNGAGTGATTTATAATGTGTAATTGTTATTGTGACGGACCAGAATGAAACAAATCAAAATGTATTCACTTAATTATCGCAGGTGCAACAAGGTACACATACGCCAGTTCCACAGTGTTGCCAACTATCCGCGGGATTATGCGTTGTGTTATGGAGGTCTGTACCTTGTGGGTGTTGAGCCGTGTACAGAATGTGATAAAAGGGCTCCAAGACTGGATTATTGACGGGAAAGCGAATGCTTAGTAAGGCAGGTAGGAAGCGTCGCTGTTATTTTACCGTGTGGCGGGAATTCGACATTCCCGATAGTAGCGCAGGTTTGCACACGGTTGCTTATTTGACACTTGTAATTTAGTATTTTAATTTTCAAAACCATTATAAACCTTAGGAAGACGGCCAGTGAAATTCGCGAAATTAAAAAAAAACAATTTTAGATCAAACTGTGAGCTTCTCGAATATATTTGGACACATGCCCAAAATTTTCAAGGAAACATGCATATGCCTGCTATCTCCCGACACGGCACACGGAGAAAGCAGTTGCTTTCCTGCGTGATGGCAGAAGACAGGCAATCGTGAAGCTGCAATAGAAGGCCTGTTATTTTGCAATGTCCGGCGAGTGATTTGATCGTGTTTAACTTTCACAGGCTCACCTCTCCGGGAATGTGGAGGACAATTTTACGATATGATAGAAATCGAATATCGCAAGTTTAACTTGGTGATAAGAACTTGAAAATAGCTGTTGATTTTTATAGTCGTTTCGTCTGTAATGCGGCAAATTAATAACATTAATTCATATTTAATTCATGCAGTGATTGTCAATGTATGAACTGTTATTAAAATTATTAAAATATAAACATATGTTATGTTACTACATGTTTCGACCTTACAAAGACATCATCAGGCAACACTGTTTAAGGATTCTAACTCACTGTACGCTAATCATATAGAATTTTTAAGATATGTCGTTGATGTTCCTCCATATCTTTTTAATTGCCGCTGTTTCTATGTCATTACATACTTACTTGCTTACTCATGGAGCTGAGCCCTTCTGGAGGAACCGCCAATTCTGCAGCTACTCAAGAACTTCCCAGCGTTTTAAGGCACCCGAAGGTTCATTACCGTGTTCACAAGAGTCCTTCACTGGTCCCTATCCTGC